AATAGTCGATATATAATTATTTTACTACAAATAATACTCAAAATATACTCAAATTTTCCAAAAATACTGTCAAAATGGTATAAAGCAGCCGATAATTTTACTTTGTCGTAACACAGAACGCAGAATGGACGGTGAGGAATGTTGTATAATTTAAAAGCAAATACACCGAAGCACTGATTGGAACGTGAATACTTTTCCAGCATCGATCGAACCGACTCGCGTAGAAATATCTATTACGCAAGATGGTTAACGAACATGATTTGTACAGTTGTTACATAAGTTGTTCCTTACATCCTAATATTGCTACACTTTGTTCTTCACGTTAGATCACTAAGCTCTTTTTTTTTGGAATACTGCTTCACCATATGCTCGAGGTGTGAAAGAGAGTCTAATAAAATTAAACTTAAAAGTCTTAGAATTACGCGAAGAAACATTTCGAGCAAATTTCGCATCTAACGATAACAATTTGATTATCACTTAACAAAGTTGAAAAAATTAACAGAAAAGAAGTAGAGTGAGGCACTTAAGACGTCAATTCTCAATTAATCATACGCATTACAGTGTAATTCTTTTGTTTTTAAAAAATTGGTATTTTTTTAATTTTATAAAACAATCCTAGAAACTAATAATGCATATTATGTGATAAATAAAAATTTTATCTGTACGTGTTGCCCTTTTATCATAAATTTCAAAAATTGCTCAATAATAAAAATGTATTGAAATGTTTTAATAATATAAAGTTCGTCAATATTTTGGGATTCTTTAAATTTAATATAAGACAAATATTGAACTTTGCGGCAATTTACATTAAGATTTATGTTATGATATTTCCGATATATATGCAAATATATATTAATTATCATCACATAAATTCTATAAACTATCCGTAACTTTATATTTGTTTTATATTTATTCATGGCGATATATCTCAAATATAAATGAGCAATTAATCAAACAAATCAATCAAATAAAAAACAACACTAATAAATATAGCTCTATAAATCTATATAAAAACATATAACATATCTAAGAAATAAATATAAAAAAATTGCGATGAATGCACATCTTAAGTAATTCACTCCGTACATTAGTGAAAAATGATTTTTATGCGAATAAGCTTAACAGACAAAAATAATTCTTTCTAAGTTCAACTAATAGGAAAGAAAAATTCTTACATTTAATTATATTTCATTAGCAAGAATTAAATTTGGTTTCTCGCTATCTAAATTCATTATTACTAATGCGTCGCGCAAAATTTCAATTTCCTCGAAAACTGCCAATGAGACAAGTGGAGATATACTAAAATAGGAATCCCTCGTCATAGCTGCATTTTCCATATCACGTGACGCGTTTATTCTACGCTCTGCAAAAGTAGAGCCTTTGTCTGTATTCTAAGAATCTTTGTCAGAGTTCTACAGAACGCTGCACGGCTGCCATCCGAGTTCCATAAATAATAGAACTCTTGTTTAAATTCTACGAAAAATAGAGCCTTAATATAAGAGCTAAACTAGTGCCGTCTATACTTTTGGAACGCATTATATATAAATATAAATTTTTTTCTTTATACTCATACTCTTTCTCTTCTTTTTCTCAGTTATGCGCACATGTACGCTCGCATGCACGAATGCATGCGTGCATTCATACATATACATATGCTCATGTTTATGCCAATACTTGTTCTCCATTTCTCTTTTTCTATTTTCCATTTTATTTCTATCTACCTTTACTACTTTGTCGTATTTTGTTAAGTGCATAATGGCATAAGTGTGTGTAAATCATTATATAGTGGTATAATTTAAATATATATATCAGAACCTTCCGCTGCCGAGAGATAAATATAAAATTAACGATCATGCCCGGCCTTACTGTCTCTTTTTTATGTACACTCGCGAGCTACTCTCGCAAAACAATTCGTGTCTCTCGGTTAGCTTATTTAGTATTCGCGAGCTTTATTCTATGCCATACTATTCACGACAAATTATATCAGTTATTTTATAAGATTATGTTGGTCCGGAAGTATTCAGGAATATCGGACGCATCACATACGAGAATGGCTAGATGTAGCTTTTTTTCTCGTCGTGATTAACAATACGTCTACAATGTTACGTTATTAATGGTCCTTTCCTTCGCAGAACACACAACATTTTTGGTCAAAGAGCTATACAAAATACAAATTCCGTTTGTACTTCAACGCTGTGTGGAGAATCGCCGCCGGCTAATCGGATTCATTTTGAATGCAAAGTAGCCTTCGTATAGTACCATTAGTAATAAAATTAATTAATGTACCGCTTGTATGGAACTACAACTATGCGCAGTATACATATCTGTACGTTGTTTCTCTCTTCGTCCGACAGAAAACGCACAACAAAGCTCAGGATATTTGAAGAAAAATAAGGGAGAAACTCGGTAATCTCAATTATTAAATATAATTTAACATCTCGGTAGAGATAAACAAGTATAGATATAAATAGATAAAGAAAAACATGAATTCTATATGTGAATTAAAATAACATTTTTATTTTTTGCTAATCATAAACTTTTTTAATTAAGCTACTGTTATAAATTTCTTATAAAAATTTCAGCAGCACAATGTGTTGTCTTTTAATCAAATTATATAAATTCTAAAAAGATTACCTTTTCATATATATCATGCTCCTTTAATTACACGATTCATAATCGTAACTTTTCTTCAAGCATCCTAAATACCTCAAAAAATATCTGATCTACCTTAATTGCTAAAGAGCCTGAAAAGAATGCAACGGTTAGGTCCTATTGTTATTGGTGTTATTGCCGCTGGTGGTGTTGTTATTATTATTGTTGTTGCTGTTGGAATTAAGTGGGCTGCTAATGTTGTCAATTTCACGCTGGGCACGCGAAATTTTGACTTTATCCCGTGGCGTACCATCCTCGCCAGTCTCCATTGCAAACATTTTCATTTTCTCTTTGAAGCTAAGCTTCTCAGGCACCGCACCAATCTGCGAGTTCTGCTGCTGTTTCTGCTTCTCCGCCAGCCGCTTCTGTCTCGGATCCCTAAAAAACAAATTGTTCAGTATACATGTGTCAAAAAATTAGCTTATTCATTACTTTATTAAATCTTAATATATATATATATGTGTGTGTGTGTGTGTGTGTGTGTGTGTGTGTGTGTGTGTGTGTGTGTGTGTGTGTGTGTGTGTGTGTGTGTACGG